AAATGTCTCTGAACCATTTGGATTTTCAGCAATCCTTGGACCTTCCCCCCAGTAATCAATGGTTAAGCCTGTGACCTCTGGTCTTGCACCCCTCATGACCTGTCTGGAGTCATAGAATGGTTTGTGCAGTGAGGGACCTTAAAGATCATCCCATTCCAGCCCCAATGCCGCTAGACCAGGTTGCTCCAAGCCCCATCCAGCCTGGCCTTGAACACTTCCAGGAATGGAATGTCTATGGCTTCTCTGGGCAACCTGTTTCAGTAAAGAATTTTTCCCTAATGTCTGATCTAAATGCGCATTAATAGATAATTACCATGTTTTTACCACCTGAAGGCCTGAGTTAATGCCAGTGTTGTGCTACTGTAATACCAGTGAAACCAACTATATTTCTGTGCATAAACCTCACAAAGCATCTCCTGGAGTTAAAAACTGTTGTGGCAATATGAGTTGAACAAGCTGATTCAGGCACTGACAAGATCCCTTCGCTTAGATGTTCCTGGCTGGGAGACTGAATGAATTTATGAAAGAAATACCTTTTCTAGCTGCATGTTCCATAGGCTTATTAGCATAGGTCTTCCTGTTAGTTCCATGGGCCTTTCAGTATTTATATTTGGATCATCTGATCCTTTTACTGTGGTAACTTATGCAGTTCTTTCTGTTTTTCTGGTGGCTGGAGAAGGGACTCTAGCATTCATATTTATATTGACTTCTGTCTTTAAAGGTGCATCAACCTTTGTTAAGCTTTGCGCTTTATTGACCGGAAAAGCACTAACCAGAAATGTACTTCCTCCCTTGTGAAGTAATTATCCCACATTAGAAGATCCTACAGTCTGAAAAGTTTTGAAGATTGATCTGTTCTGCAGACAGGTAACCCTGTTTAGACACATTTGGCTTCACTTTCCTGTGTTTAGGAGAAATGTAATTTTAAATGTCTGAGCCCTAGCGAGTGTTGGGTTTTCTAAAGGGATTTCTTTGGGAAAGGGAATCAGCTAAAATCCTTGCTGAGAATGAAGAAGCAGGAGCTCTGGTTCAAGCCCATGTTAGCAATGAGAGTCCAGGAATTAGAGGAGTTATTTAATCACCAGCCTGTACTAAAGCCAGTGCTCTTCTCTCTGTGTTAGCCATGGCTCCTGAGTGGGGTTATAACTCTCTCACTTGAAGCTGCTTGATAAATAAAAGAATGGGTTATCTATCAGCCAGCCATTTAAATCTCAGTCTAGGATTTTAGTGTCAAATGAAGTTATTTTGTACCTTATGCTCATTAATAAAAATTCTGTGGGCTAATTTGTGACTTCAGTGAATCTTTAGGCACAATTTTGATGTTATTTTGTCAAGGCAAGACTTGTTGCAAATATTGTGCAATACTGCAGTTTGTAATTCCATAACAATATTAACTCTGTTTTGAACAGAATATTGTTAATGTTTAGCTACTGTAGCACAGAGGCTCTGCTAAAACTGTGTGTGTTGCAGGAAAGGGAAACATGAACTGCATTACCAGTCTTCAAAAATATTTAGTTTAGTTAGAAAAGGCAAAAGAAGCAAACAAACAAACTTTGCACTGATAAAATGAAGGAAGTGTGGAAGCAATCTTAGGACATTAGGCAGTGTTGATCTCGGGACTTGGTGGATAGACTGTAAATATAAATCCTAGCTCAGCTTCTGCAAGGCGAACAGGTGTTATGGCCTCCAGTCCATTGATTCCCAAAATAAGACATGTGGAAAACTGCTGATCCATGAAACTCCATTAAGAGCTTGGCAGGACCCTTAAAGCATAAACAATTATGCATTTGTTGGTTAAGGATTTAGTAATGGTAAATGGTGATTGGAGAAATATTAAGAGTTGGTGACAGTCTGCTAATGCAAACTCTTTAAATGCTAATGTCATTTGTCAGGAAGTGATGGTTCAGCTATGACTTGAGGATTTGGCTCTTCTTCCTCTTGAATTGTAGCTCAGAGCAAGCAATTTCTTCTCCAGCAATACAAAATGCCAGTATGAACAAGTAGTGCCTATTTTTTTAATTTGTTATTCAATTGTGTCTCATTGCAAACCATTGGATATGAATCTATGTAAAGGATATGTACTAATTATTTAAAAATTTGTCTTCAACAGGACGGCTGAAATCTTTGTTTTGTCTTTTATCGCTTCTACTGTATTACAACAGAAGAAAATTATGGAACACTTACTGTTCAGGGCAAAGAAGATTTAAGATGGCAATTAAGAAATTTAAGGTAAATGTTTCTTGGAGAAATGTAATTTTGCTCCTTTGCTTATGCATCTGAAAATTAAAACATCTTTCTTCATGAAAGAGTAAATTGCAGGGTAGTGTGGATTTTTTTGTATTTGTCAAGCATACTGTTACCCACACTGTGCAGAAAGCCTGATTAAATTTTGTAGCAAATTGTGCTTTCTTCAGGCTTTATAGTGGTTTCTGTGACAGTCTCAAAGACATTATAGCAAGAGCAATATGAGAATGAATAACTTAATATTTTGTACATGAAATGTTTTGGTTTATATTTTATTGTAACTTCAAATTTTGCATTTGTTTGCTGTATTTGGAGTCATGTCTAGATAACGAAAAGGAAAATTAGAATTTTTTTAAAATTTGAAACGAAACAATTGAAGATTTGGAGAAGATTTGGGAGAAATTTGTGTGGGAAAATAAGAGTCTAACAAAAACATTGAAGATCCAGCAGTGAAAGGAAAGTAGTAGTTTGATGGCAATTGATAAAACAGTCATTTTGTTTCTGGGCAAAGCTTTACTTATATTACACTTGTATTTGAGTTTTTCTTTTCTTCTGTGATAGATGCATATTGAAATTTGAACTTCTAATTTAAAATACAGTCGGGGGAAAAAAAGTGTGTTTAAATAGAGTTTTTGAGAATTCAGAGTATAGGATCTCAGAATACAGGATCTGAGTATACCAGTTGCATATTTGAATAAACCAATCAAATGCAGGTGTAGAATATCTTGTACTGTCAACATGAAAAGTAGAGGTAATATTTTGGCGGTCTCTCTACCCACTGTAATTTTTTCAGTTTGAAAATAAAGGATATTTCCTTTCACCTTCTCCATTACTATATGACTGAAAATTTCAGGCCAAATTAGGCACTCAGTGTTCCTTGCTCCTGAGCGACTGAGGTAACAACATGAAGAAAGACTGAAGCAGGCATCCTAGTGGTATTCAGACTTTTATGCTAGTGAAAAATATTGCCACTGATGTTGCTGTAACTTGATTTATTTCATGTAATCTGCTATCATTAATTTTTTAGACTCATTAGTGACTTTATTTGCTGTTTGTTCTATTGGTTTTTTTTTTTTTTTTTTTTTTTTTTTTTTTTTTTTTTTTTTTTTTTTGCTAAAGCCCTGGACAAAATCTCAGCTTTCGTGCCATCCAGTGAAGCATTAAAATACAAATCCTTGCAGATTCAGAGAATAGAAAGGGACTATAAAGGGGTTTGTGTATACAGCGACTTTTATGTCGGTTCTCATATTCCCTGGACCTTCATTGTTGCTGCTGCGGCAGCGGGGTGCCGGACGCCTTTTCGGTAGCCCTGTGTGCTCCTGTAATGAGGCTGTATTGCCACGCGAGGTCAGCAGCTGCCGAGAAAAAGCAGGAAATAAATTCGCTCCAGTGCCATCCGTTTTCATTTGCTTTATTTAGAATACTTAAAAATCAATACATCCTTCAGAACCGTATATACAGTGTGCAAAACCAAAGGATTTCTTTTGAACGCACAGCATCTTCAGCAAAAAGTCTTCCTCGCGAGTTACCACAGAGTGAGGATCTAAAATGGCTTTAGGAACGTTTATTGGTTTCCCGAGTAGCACTGGGTAATCGCTGTGGCAGAGGATGGTATTCTGTACAGTGTGATGATGACAGGGTTTCAGCCTTATCTTGTTGTCTCCGCTAAATTGGTGATAATAAATCGAAATTGAATAAGGTATTATTCCTGCAGGGAATAGTTTGGAATACAGAAATGGAAAATACACTTCCTTTTTACTGCAGTAATAATCAGCATTCTGTCAAGATGTGGGGGAGATGTTGTCTGAAAGGATGTTCCCCTGCTTTTGTCTTTGCTTTAAAAGCAAAACTCCTCCCAACAACACAGGTAAAGAATATAAGCTTGTTGCCAAAGTTACTGAATAGGATTTGGGAAATAAGTATTGAGCTCTGTCATAGGCTTACTGTTGGCTAATCATTTCCTTAACATAAGTCTCAGTTTCCTATATGTAACTCCAAAGAAGATATATATTTACATGGTAAAGTTTTAGAATAAATTTTTTTTATGGGATTTTCTGATTTACTGTTTTTACAGTGGGATTATCAACTGCAGCATCACACCTGAATCTTGGTGTTCTGTTTCCTGAAATTCATATTGGTATTTCTTGTGAGTATGCCATTCTTCCTGTCCTAGATAGTTGTGTAACATTGCTAGTAAACATACCCTGTGTTTCCGAAGTGACTGCTTTTTAATAGTTTATGAAGTTATCTTCATGTATGATTGGCACCAACTGACATTCCTGTCAAACCTTTTATCCAAAAATCCCCCTGCACTGGGCAAATTTAACAAATGATACAGATGACGATCAATTTACTGATCACCAAAATGCAGCAGGGAAGATTAGTTTAAATATTAGGAAATACTTTTTCGCTATAACACTGATTAAGTTGAAAGGAGGAACTGCCAAATGAAGTTGGGTAATTGCCATCACTAGAGGTTTTCCATCACTAGAGATTTTCCAGGCTATGAGTATGCATCCATTTAGCAGGGATGGCTTAAAAATAATGCAGTCAGTTTTGCCACACTTGAGGACTTGGGCTGAATGACTCATTATATGCATGTTTTATCCGAAATAATTTTTTAAATTTCTTCCTACTTTACTCTGACTAGGGATAAAGCAGCAGGGATGTCAGCAAAAAAAACGAGTAACATTTTCTCTCAGCATGTGCCAAGCCTACATGAAATAAGAAACAAGTTGTAGTGAGAGAGAAGAAAGCCCAGATTGATGTGACCTTTATTATTTTAACAGTGTCTTTCAGCACAATTACAGAGTTGCAGGATTGCAGAGAACAGAGCTGGAGTATAAAATAACATAAATAAATAGAACAGGAGCCAAAGCAGTCAGCAGGAGGTGGTTGGAATTGGGCAGTGAAGGATGGGTGAAGGGTTTGCATTGGTCAAAGCCTTTATGATTCAGCCACCATAGTTGCAAATTCTGGAGAAAGGAAAGAATTTTAAAAAATATTTTAAAAAACAAAATTTAAAGAAGGAGGAAGCATATTACAATGAATACAGAGTCACTGGTGTAGCCAAAACATCACAATAACAGAAGAGCAAAGAAATCCAAGTTAATTAAAGGGAAAGTATGATTTGGGAAATCTTATAGTGAAATGAAAGGATTTTTTGAGAGTGAGGGAAAAATGCTATACATGCCAGACTGTAAGACTTCCACCACTATTCATCTGAAGAACTTGATTAGTTCTCTGTTGTTTCTTTGTAAATCTCAGTGGGATGAAGGCAAGAACTAGAAATTTAATCTTGCAGTGAGATAAATTTCTTTTATATCAAGAGTTTGGCAAAGAGAATCATTAATGAGTCTTTCAAAGTATTTGTGTTCCATCTTATAATTATATTGCATTTAAACTCAATTTTGTAATTGTAAATTGAGTGAAAATGACAGATTACAAAAGCAGAAGGCTGATACCAACCTATATAGCAATTTTAACTGTGTTGTAAGAATGAGAAAAATTCCTGTGGTGTCAGAGAACCAGGATTTTACCCTGTGGCTTATATTAGTGGTACATCCATAATATTTACATAAACGTATCTATCTGCAGTTTGGGGTTATTCTATGCTTTAGTATATATACTGCCTTTCAGCAGGGAGATAAAGCATGGAAAAGGCACATTTGTATCCTGGTGAATGGCTGACTGGTTATAATTCCTAACTCCATCTAACCTTGGAAGAGTTACACATGAGAATACCTTGCACAGTTGTATGTGCCTCAGAGCACTGAAAATGACAGACTGGAGGGAATCCCAAGAAGAGCAACAAAGACGATAAAGGGATTAGAGGGTATGCAGAGAGAGTGGTTTATGGGTTTAACATAAATCAGCTGAGAGGAAAATGACAAATAGGGGAGGGAGTTGTCTGTAAAGGCTCAATAAAAAATTACTGAAGTTTGACAAAATGAAGAGTAAATTCTGGCAACTGAAAAAGATAGAAGATTAGGCATTTTAAAGAATATTCTGATGTTCAGTTGAAAAATGCTAAACTCTAAACAAGTGAGATCTTAATTGACTGTTGTGTGCAAACAGCACTTTGACGGCATATCCAAAAAATATGTTGCCAAATGCAGACAAACCAGAGTGAGAAATAAAAATCAGAGGGTTTAAATTGATTCCAAATTTATCCATCGTTTTGAAAGATGTAAATCCAAATTAGGATTAGTGATGCAGATTACTTAACACAAAACATGTATAAATCCTGTACATGGTGGGTACGTAGATTGAAAATGTTGCAAACTGAATTTAAGAGATAAAGTGCTTGTGCTAAAAACCCCAACTATTCTGGGCGGAAAAGGAGAAAGGCCATGATTATTAAATCTTTGTGTGCATAAGTCCTGCAGAGAGAAACATGAACTGCAATGGATCAAACCTTTCCAAAAGGGAAAACTAACTGTGCATATACAAGTTGTCATACTTATTACAGCTAAATTAAATACCTTTTATGATAATTTGTATCTACTGAATCTATTTGGAAAAGGTTATTCAGACTTGCAGCCAAATATTTTCTATAATACATTTTGATAGTGCTATTATCACTTAATAGCAATATATTTTACAGGTACTTTGTGTTAGCCAGCAAACCATAAAGTACTCATTCTTGAGTAATTGCAACAATTTCACTTTTCCCAGGATTTTCAATGCATTTTAAATATTTCAAAAATGTTCCAGTTGAATAATCTTCTAAATTAGTTCACTACTCGTTTTTGTATGAAGGTTAGTCCAACCACAGGTGGCCTGTAGAAGCATTGTTACAAAGTGTACTCATATATGCGAAACTTCTGAGATAAGGCAGGGTATATCAGTCCCTTGTAAATGGTTATTGTCCCTGGCCTGTTAGTGGGGGAATCCTAGTGATTTACTACATCCTTGTTTCCAGTTGTAGTTACCCTTCCAAACAAAATTTTTGCACAAATGGTGGCTTTAAATTGCATGGATTTAGACCATTTTGTCATGTAAAATAATTTACTAGCTGTTTTGTGTCAAAGCTCTGACTTAAAAGGAGAGGACACTGTGTTCAGTACAGTTTAGTACTGTATACCAGCCTAATGCATGCCCTCTAGTATTTTACTGAAATGACAGACATGATTACAGAGGACATGTTGTAGGCTAGTGATTTCTCTCATCAGATTGTGTTTTTTACATTTTCTTTACAACAGCAAATCTGTTTAGGAGACTTTATACGTAATGACTTATGCTAGTTTATTTTAGAAGATAGAAGAGGACAAAGCAGGATAAGAAAAGAAGGAATTCCTTTTTTTTTAATTTTTTTATTTTTTTTTTATTTTTATGGCTTTCACCTGGCAAGGTCATGACTTAATAGTTGTAATTTTGCATGTTTAATGTCGCATTTTTACAACATTCTGATTTACAGGAATAAAAAAATTGGATTTGTGTTGCCCACAGTGCATGATCTTTGAAAGTTCTCTAGGTGCTTTCTCAAGTCTATTAATATCAAGAAACTAAAAGGCATGATATTCATGCCAATACACAAAATAGATTTTAAAAAACATTATGACTAGAAATTTTCATATTTTTTTCTCATCTTTCTTATAAATATTTTTCTGAAGCTAGTAGAGCTGCTTCAGCACCATTTTTCAGCCTGAGCTAGAAGCTAAGGTTGCTTGTGTTATGAGGTAACCTGGCCTTGACCTACAGTTTTTTTCAGATTCATCATCTTCAGACCACATTGGTGGAATGTGGATGGGGTTTGACACTGCACAGAAGATGATCATGTCTTACAGGAACTGGCTGCAATTTTCAGCTCTTTGAAACTGCTTCATCAGCCACAAGTTCAAACCGTGGGACAGGAGGTAAACTGCTGCAACTCTTTCAGACCTGAATGGTCTTGCAGGAATGAGAAAAGGTTTAAAGAAGAATCAAAATTCAAAAGAGAAAATTTGTAATGTCAGACCCCAGCTAGAAGAAGGCTGTTTGTGTTGGGATTAATGTTTGTGATGATACCTCTGAGCTAGTTGTCTCTGCGGTTTTAAAAATCCCTAAAGATCAGTTCTTACAACATACTGTGGGCTCCTGAGGGACAGCATTCAAGGGCCATCAAGAGAATTAACATTAACCCCTGTGGAAGGCTGCTTGTGTGCAATCGTTTAGTGATTTAGGAAGCTGATGTTTGAAACAAGGGGTAGAAGTGATGCCTGACAATTCAGCTGCAGGCAAACAAAATTGGTTTGCAACAGAAATACAGCATCGCAATACTGCATATGAATGGGATGTACATTTGTGACTTTACATTCTATTTACATATATAGTTATATTCTTGAATTGGATTTGTGGGCCAAAGGAAAAGCTGGGAAGTATCTGTCCTCCTTGTCCTTTGGTCACAGTCTCAGGTGTTAACTTTTGTATGTATTTCAAGCCTTTCTGGTGCAAAAATTGGCTGTTAAACTCAATTTAAGAAATGGAAAAGAAACTGGTAGTGTTGTATGGTAGGGATATGGTCAGAAGAATCAAAAGAAAAAAGCACATCATTCTCTTCTCATTATCAAGTGTAAACACAGAGTATTTCCATTTCAAAGTTAGGGAACAGTAAAAGCTGCAGAAGAAAGAGATAAGGAGAAGAGGCATTTCATATTGCTTTATTACAATGTACTGGGTTTCAGGCACTGTTTCAAAGAAAAAGTTATTGTAGTCTTAAATATGAAGGTTAATGCTGTATTTTCTTGTACAAGCCAAAATCGTTATGCAATATTGTTCCTTTATTCTAATTAAGACTAGTTTTGATTTGCAGCCCTCTGGAATAGCTGAAAATTTATCTAATATGAGGCTGGTGGATCAGCTGTAAGCTTACTTACCTGAATTAAGTTTTCTTTTGAAAAACTTGCCCAGTGATTTTAGTACTACTATCACTAATTTTAGGATGTATAAAGAAGACCTGTATAATAAAGAATATGAAGTTTCAAGAAATGACACCCATGCTGGATTCAGCAGCACTGCTGAAGTTTAGCAGGAGCTTTGCTTAAACCATAATATAGTCATGAATGGAGAAATTAAGAAGCTTTGGTCTAGGAATGTGGCCATAGTCACTGATATGCCAGTGTGCATCTCCCGACTGATACGTCAGTGGCTGATTTTGTGTGTTTTCTTCTAAGCTGGCAGACTGTGTTAGTTAACTTTGCTTTTTATTTCTCTTTTAATTTACTTTTTTTTTTTTTTTTTTTTTTGGCGATAACATTTTTTTAAAATCGCAGAGATTAGGTAACACAGAGATTTGAGAGGGTTTAGGTATTTTTTAGATTTCAACTTATGATATGGCTTATTGATATGTCAAACCCCTAGCAATTGCCTGCTCTCTAGGTGATTTAGTACTCTGGCCACAAACTTCTATCTCCTGCAATGAGGAAAGCTTTAGTTTAGAATTGCATCTCTTCTTGTCTCCTTCAGTGTGTTTCATTCACTCTCACCACCAAAAAAAGAGAAAAAAGGAGAAATTTTGTGTGTGGGCTAAGCTGATTCATCCCAAGGGGGAATAGAAAACAGCACTAGCTTTCTAAGCAATGCTGTGAGAGGAAAAGTTGTTCTTTTCTTATATTTCTCATAGTCAGTAAAAGGGACTGACAAGCTTTCTTAGGTGTGAAGACCCACGTAAACACTAGCATAAGCTGGATAGACTGTTATTGTATAGAAATTCTGGAGCAAAACGGGTGTACTTTGAATTTTAAGAGCATCGCTTTGCTAAGTCATGCACTACTTTCCTGCTAACTAAACATCAAGCAGAAATGCTAGCGCTCAGCTTTTATTCTTTCCAAGCTTTATAGTCAAGCCTCGGTCTCTGAACTCGCAGTGTCCTGATCCTCACTCCACTGATATCAACAAATTACAATAATTGAAGTAAAGTTTGGCTGGGTACTTAGTCCTGTGCTGCGGAGTGCCCGACCCACAGCCGGGTTTTGTGAGCTCCTGCCCCCTCTAGTGTCACAACTCGGCTTCTTTTCCTCTAAGGCTTCCGAGCGAGGTACAGCAAATGGAGCAGGACTTGGCATTTCATTAAACCCAAATTGTGCCCTTCAGAAGGTCACAGCCACCAGTGATTCCTAGGTGTCCTCAGTTCTTGTGTGTAAGGGAAATATTTAGTTGTTACTGTCAAAGTTTACTCCTCTAATTACATACCATCAGCGCCAATTTTACCATCACCGTCCTTATCTCCAGCAGCCAGAAGAGCCTTCGTTTCTTTGTCTGATAGGTCTCTTCCTTCTGGGGTAAAGCCCTTCAGGACAAACCTAAGGAGGAGGCATAGAAAATAAAGGAAGGTTTGCTTGGAGGTTTTTTGTTTGTTTGTTTGTTTTTGGTTTGGGTTTGGTTTTTGCCCACTGAACAATTACACTTCATATCTATTTGTACCACTTATTTGAGAGACAAGTTAGAATCCAGCTTTGTGTCTTCTGTTGTTGACCTCCTTTAACATTCAGAAGCACCTTACTCTGAAACTGCATTTGGCTGAAGAACTACTTGTAAGGTATTGACCATTCATGTTTCAGGGATCCTGCAATCCAAGTGGCAACTAGCTATCTCCAACACTCTTTAGATCATGCGCTCAGCAAACAACTGGCATAGCACACAAATACTAGTCAAGAGGTTCAGCTATATGTTACTGCCTAGAGTCTTGTAAAAATCACCCCCAGGAAATTAGACTCTTGAGGCGGGGATATTTGAGAAATGATGTAACTTTACTTACTTCAATTCTTCCTCTTCAATGAAGCCGCTCTGATCTTTATCAAGAATATGGAAAACTTTCTTCACATCTTCTGGGCTCTTCTTTTTCAATCCTACCATCTCGAAAAACTTTTTGTAGTTAAAAGATTCAGCCGCTATAAGAGATGAAAAACAGAGAACTGCTTAGAAAAGTCATTGAAACACGCACACCAACACATACCCGTGGTTTTCTTCCATGCTGCTGTTTTTCTTGCCCTGGGAGGAACAGTGGAGCCCAGCTGTGATAGGAGGTGGGTGTACTCAGTGCAATCGTCCGTGCTTCACAGGTGCTAATGGAAATAAACGAAGGGGCAGAGAGGCAATGGTCTCAATTTTGCAGATGAAGAGCTGAGCTACAGAAGGATGAGAGTTGCCCAAGGTCACAGGAGAAGTCTGTAACAGACTTGTGAGCTTTGGGATCTAAGGTCTAATGTGCTTGGTCTCATTTCAGTGCCTTAAAGCTGGGGTGGTTTTTTTTTTTTTTTTTTTTTTTTTTTTGTTTTGTTTTGTTTTCTGTTTTTTTTGGCTAAGTTTTACACTAGAACAGACATCTGAGAGCAGACTCTGTTAGATAGCTGTCACTTTTTGACATTTCCACCCCTGGAAAAAAAGAAAAAACCCAAATCAAAAATGCTCTTGCTCAAGCATTGGCGAGAAGTGTTTCAGAGCACTGTTTGTTTTGTTGGGTTTTTGTTTTTTTTTTTTTCTTTTTGTTTTCCTGGAGACTTACTAGAAATCAGTGTTCCATTTCAACCGCTAAAGGAATGTGCAATCGTGGTGTGTAAGCTCAGACACTGCAAGGGAGTGCTGCACGGCGCGCTGCCTGCAAGACCTTGTGAGGAGCTGTCTCCGGGGAGGAAAAAAACAAACAACCCAGAGCCCTTGAAATCGGAACCGAGTTTACCTGTTCCACCTCCTTTGTCCTTTCACCGCACCCGCTTTTGTCCCACCCAGGCAGCCTAACAACTGTGATGTGGATTGGAAATACCATACAGTGACCTCCAAAACGTGCGGTGGACTTTTTTCCCCCCTTCCTCATGCATTCTTATTCCCGCCGCGTTAAATTTTCTCATTACATAAAATTAAGGAGGCTCAGTCTTCCGTGATCTGCCTGAGATCTGTCATTAGCTGCTGTTAATTGCATCTGCTCCGGGACTTGGGGATGGTCATAGAACAATGGAAGCTAATGACTAAAACAGCTGCTGGATCCAGCAAAGCAATTTGTCGCTCCCTCTGACTCTCCGGCTTCTGCGCTGAGCCGGGCTCAGCGGGTCTTGCTCTTCTGTCTGTTCGGGAAGGTCATCGCACAGAGCGGGACAGACAGAGGCGGCTCCCCGGGATGGTGCGGTCAGCCAGGTAGTTTGGGGGAGGGGGGGAAAACCTGCATCCCGGAGTACGATTTCTGGCTTTCTTTGAGAGCAACCTTAACTACCTGAATCTCTGTAAACACGAAGAGGGTTTGCTGTCAGTTTTGGGGGTCGCGATGAATGAGAGGGGTAGGGAACATCTGATACCCGGAGGAGTCTGACAGGGAAGTGTGGACCACTGCAGCCATTCGACCTGCAGGGAGCCCCTGCAGTCGAGCAGTGCACCCGCACCCGTGCTCTACTCTTGCCTTCTGTCCATCCCGAAAAGCAAAGCCCGCCCGGGGATTCTGCACAGAGAGTACAGAGTGGTTTCTTATATCCTTGAAACGGGAAACAGCAGCTCTGTAACATCTGAAACTAAATTTTAGGAATGAGTGGGAAGCTGCTGACATCCACTGCTGACTTCTCTATCCCACACCAAGATATAATGCAGCTTGGTTCGCCGAGGGGTTTGTTCCTTTTGAAAGTATCATCTCGGTAGAAGCAAAGTCTCTCCGCAGTTACTGCTTACTTTCCCTAAAAATAAATATTTCACCTCTGTAATGTGCAGGACAACTTTGCTGAGGATGCAGACTTGTACTTCATAAACCTGTCAGAAGCATTCATTGAACATCTGAAAACATTCTCATTTGAAATTTTGTCTAGCTAGTTCCTCTAATCTTCCCATAGCTGAAATAAATGCATAGCTATCCTAACCTGAAGAGATGAAAGGAGGAAAAGAGAGAAGAAAAAAAAATAGAAAAAAAGCACTCACCTGAAAAGGCTCCCACAGCCTTCTTGATATCCTCAGCGCTGAGCAAGTCAGTCATAGCCATCCTGCAACTGTTTGAACAGGGAAGCAAGTGCGAAAAGATTAAAAAGTGCTTTTCTCATCATTTCTGCTCATATGACCAAAGCTGCAGTGCTGTGTGGGGATGGCACACCGGGAAAGGCTGGACCTGTGCCAGCTCTATAGCTCTGCGTGGATAAGTGCTGTGGGCTGTCGCTCTCCAGTTTGCAGAGCACCAAGTAGTCCACAGACACAAGGGTTCAGCTAAAGAGAGGGCACGGGGGATGCCTTTGTGGGGACTGGGGTGGGAGAGGACGCAGGTGGGGGTCGCTCCCTGGGAGGCTGGAGCCTAAGCCTTACTGGAGCAGTGCCAGAGGCTGCTGTGATACCGGCTGGAGAAAGAGTTTTGCCAAGGTCAAGTCCTCGGGTGCAGTGGACAAACTAGTGGTGCAGAGCAGAGCCTTTTCCTTTAGTAAGTCAGAATGAGCTTTACCAGTTATATTCGGTGATGAGTAAGGAACTGCAGCATATGCCAAGCTTCAAGCTGCTCTTGAGGTCGGGAAGCAAATGTAATGTAGCTTTTGAACATTTGCCTTATCGTTCAACCACTTTAAACATCTCCCCCTTCTCCCTTCCCCCTCCCCTTCACACACATATTCCTTTTAGACCTTTTTTCTTTCAGGCCAGTCCATATTAAGCATCTTCCTCACTGAATTAATTATCACATCCCAGCGAATCCTACAGATCCCGTTTGTAATGCACAATATGCTGCAGAATCTTCTGCGACAGGGTATGGCAAAACGAGATGCGAGGTGACAACGCACTCGTGAGGAGCTCCTGTGCCGTAGTGGGTTTCTCAGGCAGGACCGGGCACTTCCCATTAGCATCAAAAACAAGAAAGCATTTAGGATTTGTAATGTGTTTTCTAGGGTAATTTTTTTTTTTTTCCTCCAAGAATCTGTGCCCATTTTTCATATAAAATATGGCAAGTAGTCCAACTTGCTCTCAGAGTTTGGGCAGGAGCCATTAGGCTGAGGTAGCCAAGGTTGGTGCCCAGTAGTAGGGCAGATCTCTGCAGGAGTATTGGCATCGCTGCTCCAGGAGAGACGGGGGAGGACAGAGTGGTGGCAGCGACATCCCCGGGCGCGATCGACGGGTACGGCCCGGTCCCGCCGCCACAATCACACCTCTCGTCTGAATGGGGCCGCCGGAGAGCAGCCTCGAAAAGGGGGCGGCTTCTGCAGAACCTCGGGTTGTGCTGTCAATAATTGCTCGGAGCCTTTTAAAAGTACGAGCTCCGTCCTTTTTTTTTTTTTTTCTCTCCATGGCCCAAGTTCAGCTGTAATGGGTAAGTCATTACCAGGACACTGAATGCAGGACTGAGCAGGAGGTGACATTGGGGTCCCATCACCTTTTTCTTTCTTCTCCTTTTCTTTCCTAAAGGTCGTCTCTTCATTATGGAGGGGACTGACGTTTTTCTCTCGTTGGAACTTCCCCCCCAGCCTCCCTTTTTCGTGTATTTCCCGAGATGCAAGAGATGCTTAGTTTTCTCCAAGGACAAACAAGGAGATCGATGGTGGAGCCAAGTCCCTCTTCCCTAGGCTGAACACATCCTTCTCTGCTCTACAGGAAAAAGGGAGCTGAGCGCTGGGATCCTGTACCGAGATAAAACAGCAGGCCCCAGAACAGTTCTGCACACCTTCTCGCACGGGTCATTCTCCCTCAGCAGCCCCCGTTCTTTTGGAGCTGGGAGGTGGAAGGGTGCAGTAAAGACAGCACTTGGGGCACTGGAGTCTCTTGCTTTAGCGGAGTTCAGGGTTAGGACCCTATTGTTAGTCCGTTTTAAACGTAGGATGGGTGCAGACCCATCAATTTGCAGCTATTTGCCAGAGATCAGTGTGCCGTATCTTATGAAACTGACGTCCCTTTACCTTTCCTTAACTGAGGGAAGAGAGGATAATCTCTTCTTGTTGACAGTGCAGACACCGCCGGCCCAGTGCTACATCGCCCTCTGCTTTCCCTGCTTTGCTGCGTGCGGCATCGGTGTGGTCTGCAAAGGAGTTGGGCCTCAGTCTCCGAAGGTTTTTCCCCTTTCTTACGAATCTTTTGCAAACCCGTTGTTGAGCCACGGAGCTTCCTTTCAGGTCCCTACAAACAGGAACGCACCTGCCCACCCGCCGGTGAAGATGCTCTGCTAGCGGGTGACTCGTGTTTCGGTGCTAACCCCGCTCTGCTGACGAGGCAGAGCGCATTTGGACGGCTGCCCTCGGGGGTAACTCGAGCCCGTGGCTGGCAGAGGCGATGCGCAGCGCTGCCTGCTGTGCTGGCAGACGCCGATCAGGTTAACTAGCCTCATGCCAAGCAAACCGGCCAGAGGCGCATTCCCTGTCTGTGTCCTGGGGATGGGAGCCGGGCGGCTCCCTCCGCATCCCCAACGATGCGCGAACTGCCCCGCTTTCCCTCCGTCATCGGATCTGTCAGCCCTCTACGGCCTAATCGTGCTGTGGAGGCGAAAAGTGAGAGGTGTCAGAAAAATGAGGCTTCAGATCAGGTGGAGCCATCTGTAGAGCGTAAATAACATTTCCCCCAGCTCAGAAGCCGTTTCTACCCTCCACAGCCAGAAAGGTGAAAGCAGCGACACAGGGTTTGCGAAGCGCACAGCTGGGACCTGACATGGAGGAGCGGCTGAGGCCCAGCTCCAGCTTCAGCAGTGTCTCTCTTTAAGGACAGCTAGCAAATTTCCAGAAGCTTTTAACCCCCAACCTGTAGTCAAAACTGTTATTCTAATAAAAAAGGTGTTTCACGAGTTGACAGTTTCTCACTCGACCCTTCATCTTTTTCTCATCATCCCTGCGAGATGAATGACGCGTTTTCCTTTGTCTCTGAGATTTTGCCAATTTTCCTGCCCGAACTATTTGCAAAATCCACTCCGTGAATTTCCAAGTTGTCTGCACCAAAACTTTTGTGTAGATCAACTCCGCATTCCACCAGCACCAGAATGATGATATTGTTACCAAGTAAACGACCAAATAAATCAAGTAGAAATCAGCCCACCCTTGCCAAAAGCAAACCAGGGAGAATTTCCTGAACAGCACGAAGCCCTCACACCAAGAACTGAAGAAGAAAGACGGCGGTCCTTTGCAAAAAGGGTGAGACATTTCCTTTAGCTTCCTAGTGAGCACACCAAAGACAGCAATTTCATCCCATCGCTTACAGTCATCTGTGCAGCAAGAGAGGTGCCATTTCTAGACGTGTTCTGGATCTTGTTTTTTTGTCTTTGGTTCACAGCTGGCTATTTCAGTACAACTTCTTCGGGAGTCCTTGCTCGTGTTCTCGTTCACTTCCTTCCCTTTCCCAGTTTTGTCATTTCCACCTTCTCTCCTACTTTTCTCCTCATTCCCCTTCAATGAGTTCACCTATTTACTCCTTTTAATGATCTATTCTTCTCATTTGGAGTCTTCTTTGCGGGAAGCCTTTCCTCAGTGTTTGAGAGATTTGCATCTCTTTGTTTCCGGGCTTTTGTTTATGGAAAGGGGAATGATGCCGGAGTGATAGAAGATACCTTATTTGCGAAGATCCTGCTTCTTGCCCGGAGCTGGTGAATCCACGTTTGCTGTGGAAATTTGAGCATTTTCTTGCTACTTACCTCTTGGATCTCTTGTAAGCACGCTTGAAAAGATGTTAGATAGGGAGGTGGTCAAAAAGAGATGAAACTCGGGGTAGGAACCCCACTTATATAATCTCTGTCGCTCTTTCTATTTTCGGCAGGTGATACCCACTCCTCACTGGTATCAGATATTCAGGGGTTTTGTTGGTGGTGTCACATTTATCTTTCCCTTAACTAATAGAGGACCGCTATTAATAATCCTTGGCGCTTACCTTCCCCTGGCTGTGAAAACCCATTACATTGGCAAACTGATGGTCCACATGAAACTTGAATGTTAAGGGGAAAGGCATGCAGTATAAGTGAGCTGTTAAGGGACAAATAGGCAAATTACATCGATGAAAATGCCATTGAGACCTATTTTCCATTGTGTAATCCATCTAGGGACACTTTTCCTGATATTTAATGTTTTTCTGGCAAGAGAAAACGTTTTACAAAGGACCATGAATCATACATCAGATGAAAGTGGCGTCGGGGAGATCACGATGCATTAGGAAGTTCAGTTCAAGAGATGGGACTCTGCTCACGAAGGGAATAGAAAGATGTAGCTCCCTCATTGGCGTGAGGGAAAACAAAGATGGGCTCTGGAGTTTGCCCTTTTCTTTCATCAGCCTTGACAGATACTACTTGAAACAAAACAGAACAGCTCTAAATTGCTTCCTGCACCTGAAACTACAACATTCAGCTTTACCACTTGGCCTTGAAGGAAGTCAGATTTTTTTTTTTTTTTTTCCTGCAGGCAACAACAAACTCAATTGTGTAATTCTGATTGCTCATACTTACAGAGGCATGCAAAATCTGCATCCAGGGCCCCACTGGGCAAGGTGCTGTAGAAGTCTAAAAAATTTACGACCTGAGCTTTCGCGGGAGAGACAGGGAATTATAAATTAAGAAATCCTATATATACAACCACAATACATTGACTGTAATGTTTCCAGCATATAAATTCTCTTTATGCTGAGTTGCCTGTTCCAGGGAAAGACACCTTTGAAGACACTTGTATTTTTACTCTGTCAAGCAATAATAACAACAATAAAAATGCCTATTAAATGTATTTGCCATTCTGTAATCCATTTGGGGATGTGTTTCTTGATATTTAATGTTTTTCTGCCAAGGGAAAACATTTTTATAAAGGATGATGCACTACATTTATCTGTAGTACATTTATGAGTAAAATAAAAAAAAGTTTTTTTATGTTTCAGCACTCAAACCCAACATTTCTTAGGTTAAAAGCAACCAAGGTTTTGTGATACAATGGAAATTATCTTTTGGGAAAGGGAGGTGCTGCAAAAGTGAGCTCAGATTTTTCTAGCTTGATTAATTGATCCTAGAAGTGAGGAAAGATAATTGAGGTATGTATAGGGTAGGAATATTTAAAAATATTTCTCT